GTGTGTGTGTGTGTGTGTGTGTGTGTGTGTGTGTGTGTGTGTGGAGAGAAGCTGAACCTCTCTCCGGTCTCCTCAGCGCTGGGATCGGCAGGACCGGCTGTTTCATAGCCAGCAGCCTCGGCTGCAGGCAGCTCAGAGACACGGGTCAGGCTGACGTCCTGGAGACGGTGTGTCAGCTCCGACTGGACAGGTGAGCTCGGAGCTGCTCGCTGTATTCACCTGTTGGAGCTGGAAGCTGATGTTTAACCTCCTCCGTCCTGTGCAGAGGCGGGATGATTCAGACCACGGAGCAGTACCAGTTCCTGTACTCCACGCTGGCCCAGTACAGCCAGCAGCTGCAGCAGAACCAGGTATTCAGTGAGACTCAGGGACCACCTCATGTTCATAGAGCAGCAGCTCAGTCTGATCTTTACTGCAGGTCACTGKCGTAATATAAACCTGTCAGAGACAGGTTTGGATGCTTTTATTTTGAAAATATTTATCCTTTTATTTTGACCATGTCAAATAGCAGAAAGAAGCAGAYTTTTAGCTAAAATAACCAAAAACTGTGAAAATTAGCATAAAAATAAGCTATAGGCAGCAGAAACAAGTTGAAAGAAGCACCAACATGGTGAAAGTGTTTTAAAAATATGAAATTAGCAGAAAAAATGCATAAAACTACTAGAAAATTCATCATCTGAAGAAAAATAGCTAAAACGACTAAAATTTTCAGTAAAACAGCTAAAAAGTGGGAAATGTTTTGATTAGCATAAAGGAAGCATAAGAAGCACAAGTTTGCTGAACATAGAGCAGAAATAAGTTGTAATAGCTACAAAAACTATGCATTTAGCTTAAAAAAGCTAACTTTAGCTAARAACAGCTAAAKATTAGCTTAAATTTCAYCAAATAGCTGAATGTAGCAGGAAGCATGAATAGCACAAAATAAAAAAAAGAATTACAAAAAGTATAAAATAGCAGAGGAATAGCAAATCAGTAGAATTTTATCTGCAGTAGCAGAAAAAAGCTAAAAGTAGCAAAAAAGTAGCTAAAATTAGCACAAGGAAGTTAAAAAGAGCGTAATCAAAACAAAATGTGTAAGGTGCTGGAGAGATTTAGAAACATTTTGAAGGATTTCAAGGATGTTGAAAATGGCTCCATTCATTTAAAACGGCAAAAATGTGGCTAAAAAAGTGAAATAGCTAAAAAAGTATAAATAGCAGAAATACGAAAAGTCATAGGTGGAATGTCCTGAATGAGCTGAACGTTTTGATGTAGAAATTTTTGAAACGGCGTCAAGGTTGTGGAAGAAGAACGAGGCCAAAGAGCTGCAGCCGGTGTGGATGCCTCAGCTCCCACAGGCTGAAGCTCATTTCAGCCTCAGAAACTCTGAATCCATCAGGAAACAGTTTGACCTCAGCAGAGTCCAAACGGTTCTGTTCTCCCCTTCAGGAGCAGAACCAGACCCAGCCTGCCACACAACCAGAGAACCAGCAGAACCCAGAGGACCGGGTCAGTTTACAGCTGCAGAACCTGCAGTTATAGAACAGAACCCACCGGAGAACCAGCAGCGTCTCTACAGAACCCAGGTGGAGGAGCAGAACCAGAACAGGATGTTCTMTTCGGACTCTACAGAAACAAAGACTGGAGTGAAAATCTCAGAAAACTGAAGGTCCAATCACAGAAACCAGATTAAAAAAGAACCATTTTCAGGAAGTTGGTTGTGTTTTTTTAGACCCTGAAGGAAATAATTCTTCATGTTTGAGCAGAATGTACGGAATCAAACTTGTGCCAGCAGGAAATGAATTTGAATTGCTCAGATTGAATCTGAATGTTCATAAATTGAAACTGAACTGGTTTGAAAATAAATTTCACTAAACTGAAATTGAATTTAAAGTTTTGTGTCTGAATTAATTTCCTTTAAAACTGTATTTTGGTTTATTAAAAATTCAGTTTCACTACTTTCACAGAAGGGAAGCTTCACTGARGTGAAACGTACATCTGTGGATCTGTGTTTGATTACTCTGCCTGGCTTTCACACTGAAAGTGAAAGTAGTCAAACTAATTTGTAATAAACCAAAATACAGTTTCAAAGAAAATTAATTCAGATACAAAACTTTAAATTCAGTTTCAAACCATTAAAGGGCCAATATTATGTGTTTCTCAGTCATATATTTAAATACTATACATTAATAAAGTATCTGTCACCTTTAGCTGTTATTAAAATGCTGTTTTTATGTTTAAACAGAAAATAAACTTATCTTCTCATCACTTCCTCTTCTAAACGCCTTGAAATTGGCCTCTGTCTCTTTAAGAACCACCTTCAACTTCTGTCCTGTCCATCTCAGCGTGCGGTGGGGGGGGGGGGCAGTTTACATTTGAAAATCCATTTCCTCAAAGGTATTTTGAATCTGAAAAGAGCTTCACTGAGTGAAAACTAATGTTGAGATCTCAGCAGACAGTTTAAGTTTCACTTTCAGTTTCACCCATTGTTTGCTTTGTTACTGCTGAGAGCCTGCAGGAGTCATGGGTGGGGGGAGGGGGTGCGCTCTGCCATGAGAAAGTTCAGCTTAAAGACACGTCCCAGTAGTGTTTCTGGTACCAAAAGGTGTTTCTGGTCCCCACCTGTCGTTTTGCTCCTCAGCATGGCTTCATAAAAACACTGCAGGATTTCTCAAACATGATGAATGAGTCAGAGCAAGGCTTTGGACATGTTTTTATGAGAGTATTACATTATAACATGATATAAAACTCAAAAAAGTTGATTTTACACAATATTGCCCCTTTAAATTCATTTTCAATTTAGTAAAATTTATTTTCAAACTAATGCATTCAATTTCAAATTATGAACATTCAGATTAAGTCTGAGCAATTCAAATTCAGTTCCTGCTGGCACAAGATTGATCCCATAGATAACGCCAGAACAGAACCTGCTCAGATCCAAACATAAGGAAGATTAATTTGATCCTAAATAAAGAACTTCTTAAACAAAACAAAAGTTGTTTCAGGAAATAGTCAGACCCCTTTGCTTTTGCACTCATAGCGTTTTAAATTGGAACCATTAAAATATATTTAGTTTGAAACTATTTGTGTGGCTGGTGATTTCTGATCYTGTCATGATTGACACGCCTCTTCAGGACCAGAACATGTGATGAAAGATTATTGTGTAGATTATCTGTCATCCAGAACATGGTAATCCCAACCAACACATGACAGGATGAACCCAACAGTTCTGAAACTTCAGAAAGCTCCTGGATGAGAAGTTAAATGTGCTTATTGTTTATGTAATTAACAGGTAAAAACACAGATTTAAGATTTTCATTCAAAGTGAAATTTTAGGAATAATGTCAACTTATATTTGACCAGTAGAGGTCAGTGTTTCAGAAACATATTTTCCTGTTTCTTCCTCTTCTTTTCTCTTGTTTCTTCAGCTCACTTCATCAACCCCACCCAAACRGGAAACAGCATAAATAATATATTCATTAATCATTTTTAAACACCAAACGAGAAAATAAACGATTAAATCAACTTTAAATAATAAATTAATTTTACTTTTAATGTTATAAAAACCTACATGTGTTTAAATTGTTGATAAATCTTTAATTTATTGTATGCTTTCATTAAATCTGCTCGTTTTCGGTTTATTGTGAAAGGCTCCACCGGATGTAGATCCGTGTAGCATTTCCGCCTTGACGGTGCTAGCAGGAAAAAGCGCAGCGGAGAAACGGTTCAGAGCACGGTTTCCAGCTTGAACACACCGACCTAAGCGACCTGCTGTGTTCATGTTCAGCTGCCGGTGGTTCTGGTTCTGACTGGTTCCGTCCGTGCTCGTCCCAGTGAGTGTCAGCGGGCAGAAAAACCGGAGCTTTTCGGGGCGTTAGCCACCTAGCCTAGCCTAGCAGCAGCTAACGTTAGCAGCAGAGATGATAGCGCTCATCAACAAACTGCTGGACTGGTTCAAGGCTCTGTTCTGGAAGGAGGAGATGGAGCTGACCCTGGTGGGCCTGCAGTACTCCGGGAAGACCACCTTCGTCAACGTGATAGCGGTGAGTTCGGGGCTGAAGCGGGTCGGTCCATTGTTACCCCGCGGACTGATGAGGTCAGCTGGACCGAGCTGAGTCCGACAGAACCTGATTCATCAGGTCAGGTTCTGCAGACTGACCCGGTGAGACCTTACATGATCAGCTGGTCCTGGTCAGGGAGTCCACCTCTACCTGGAGCTTACAGGTGTGTGATGACGTCAGCAGTGACCTCAGGAACAACTGATGCTGGCCATCAATTAGGAAAGGTCAAAGGTCATCCCTAATTGTTATTAGATCATTTGTTTCCTGCTTAAAAGTGCCTGTGACGTCATTTTTGTAATACTTATAAATGCATTTTTAGAAAGAGGACATTGATAAAATATTTCAAAATAAATTTCATGTCGCTGACATGAATAGTTGTTTACCTGTGAAGAAACAGGAAGTGATGTCAGAGGGGATGTCTGCAGGTAAACAGAGTGCTGCTGAAATGTTTAACATCACAGAGGGTCAGAGTTTAAATKATAATGTTTCAATAAACAAAGAGCAGAGTTTTATTTGTTAAAGAGGTCCCCTGTGATGTCACTTCCTGTTTCACTTTGGCAAGTTCAAAAGAAAATCTGCAGTTATTGGACAAAATGGGTTAAATTGTGTGTTTTATTTTAATTTTATTTAATCTAAAGATGTTTTTGTGACGTTTTGTGTTTGAAGAATATGTGTGTTAAATGTCACAGGCACTGTTTGAGCAACATTTAGCTCCTTGTCTTTAAATTAGATTTAGTTGAAAATAAATTAACCTAATTCAGCACAAAACAGATGAAATTAGTAGAAAAGTAACTAAAACATGATAAACAAGTAGTTAAAATTAGTTTAAAGGAACAGAAACAAGTTGAAAATTGAGCAAGGAGAGTAAAAAAACTGTCAAATTAAAAGAAAATAAAGAAACAGATTCCAAAACGTAGCAGTTTGTTGTAAAATAACGGTGACCCATTGTGTCAAAATGAGGATTAAGTCAAATTTGGTGAAAATAACATCACATTTTCAGATTCCTGCTTTAAAAACTTCATTTTGAAACCTGGATCATCCTGATGTCATCAGTTCATCCAGAGAAATGACTTCATTTGTTGGTTAAGATAACACATCACTGTTTGGTCTGAATCCTAATTTTATGTAAATTTATTGAGTATTTTTTATGTTACTTTAAAGAGGAAACCTCAAATATTTGTATGTTAAGATTTCACAGTTGGAAAAAAAATTAAAATGCAACGCGTTTTTCCACAAAAATTTATTTTTTTTTGTTGCTGCTCAAATAAAATGCTTTAATTTTTTTATGATTATATTTCAGACGGTTCATTGAAATGATACATTTATAAGGTTTAATTCATTATATTCTTACAAAATGTTATTTTTGCCCACATTTAAATCAAAAGCCTGTATCTGCTTGTTTCTCCAGTTTTGGACTAAATGCTGTTTTTGATGTTGTGTCACAGTTAAAATCAGCTGAAAATGTCACATAAAAAGCTGAAAAGTAGCTGAAAAAGCTGAAGTTAGAAAAGGAAGCTGAAGGAGCTCGTGTTTCCTGAAACAGCTGAAACAGAAACAGGGTCAGGTTTTAGACGTGGATCCTCAGAGTCCTGGGTGTCCTCTGTAACACCTGAATTTACCCTCAGCAGGAAAATAAAGACAATTTCTATTCTTCTATTCTAAAGGATGGAATGATGGAAATAAACGTAGAAGTTAAGATTAAAAAAATGTGGTAAAATTACAAAGTCTCAAAAAATGCCTGAAGTACTTTAACAAAGTAAAAGTATTTTTTGCAGTAATGTCCACGTCTTCCTGTGTCCCTCAGGGTCTCCGGTCCATCAGGATAAACTCTACATGGACTAAGTGAAGTCTTTAATCAGAACTTTAGTGTTTTTGTAAAGAAAAGTTAATTAGTTGTAGCAGGTCAGAAGAGTCAGTTTGACTGAGTGGAGCTGAGCTGTGAAGCTGTCATGTTTGTGTTTCAGTCGGGTCAGTTCAGTGAAGACATGATTCCTACGGTGGGCTTCAACATGAGGAAGATCACTAAAGGCAACGTCACCATCAAGGTGGGTGTTTTCCTCCTCCTCCTCCTCCTCCTCCTCCTCCTGTCCCATGGTCTGTGAGTGGTCTGTAACGGCCCGTCCCTGTGTGTCCAGCTGTGGGACATCGGAGGACAGCCTCGCTTCAGGAGCATGTGGGAGCGTTACTGTCGAGGAGTCAGCGCCATCGTGTAAGTCCTGGTCCTGGTCCTGGGAACGGGTCGGGGCGTTGGCTGGTTCTGGTCCCTGTAAAGCCGGTCTCAGCGGGTTCTTTGGGTCTCTGCAGGTACATGGTGGACGCAGCAGATCCAGAGAAGATCGAAGCCTCCAAGAARGAGCTGCACAACCTGCTGGACAAACCGCAGCTGCAGGGGATCCCTGTAAGAACCATGAACCGACACACACACACTGACACAACCAGAACCAGTCTGTGCCCACCAAACGGGCCTGGCTCTGCAGTCCACCTGAGCCCAGTCTGAGGAGGACTGCTGACTGAGCAGCAGCTCTAAAATCAGTCCTGCTGTAGTTTGACCTGTCAGCTTGTTGCTCTCAGCTCTTTGAAGTCCTCCTGTGTGTCCTCAGGTTCTGGTTCTGGGGAACAAGCGGGACCTTCCAGGATCTCTGGATGAGAAGGAGCTCATAGAGAGGATGTAAGTCCAGACCTGACCCTCATCTGTTAGTCTGACTTCCTGAGCTGCTGATCAGAAATCAACAGCAGGAATATAAATATAAATAATAAGGTCGAGTAAAAACAGGACAGAAATGTAAAAACAACACATGAACTAGTGATGGTACCCAACTCAATACTTTTATAAGTACCGAGCAAATTCTGTCAGTACTACAGAGAACCTATTCACTAACATCAAACAGTACCATGTTTCAGTACCTGAACACATCATTGTGACCGTACGGTGTAAGAGTGGTGAGTTTTCCATGTTTGTCCTGAACGCAGCATCGTGCAGGAGCGTAATGATGTCATCAGCTGCTGCTTCAGTAAACAGCTCAGTCTGAACTCGTCTGACCTGAAGCACAAGCTGCTAACTTGAAGTGTTTTAGATGCTCAAAACGTAGTTTGAATAACTTTTATTTATTTTAACTCCATCCTCTTTTGTTTATTTGATTTAAACATATTTACCTTCCATGGACCTCCATCACAGTTTATCTAGTGGTGAAATGACATCAACAGAAACACATGAAGCTGGATTTTAATTTGTGTAATAAGACAAAACAGTTTTGTTGTTTTCAACAGTTTTCACTTGTTAAACAACTCATGTTACAATACAAAGAGTTGGATGTTGTCT